ACGGGGAAGGCGGCTGCCCAGTACCCAGAAGATGAGGGAAAAGGGCAGGGAGTACCAGAGCAAACGGACTCAACTGTCCCAACACAGCTGTGGGCACCGAGCCCAGAGGCCATGGTTCAGGCTGCAGCCTCCCTCCTCAGAGAGCCCGTGTTGCTGCCATGCACCGTTCACAGCCCGGAGGGAGCAAGGCCATCCCAGCTTCACCCCAGAGCCTCACCCCTCCCACAGCCAGGCTGGCAGCGCCTGTGGCACTGGGCAGAGGGGGAGGTAGACTTGGCGCTTCATAGGGCAAATACAGGGGACCTCCACATTTCCCCAAAGTGTGAAAGCAAACTATTTGTGCCCCTCCCTTGCCTTCTAACTCTGTCCAGGCCCTTGAAGATGGCACATTGCTGTGCAGCAGTGCAACAAGGCCACAGCTGCCATCGCCAGCCCCGGTACGGGGCAGCCCCTACAGATGGGACAGGCCGTGTGTCACGGACAGGAGAGCAAAAAGCAGGAGGGAGGGAGCAGAACTCTGCCCTTAAATCCCCCCCGAGCACCCAAGGGCAGGTGCAGGGCCCCGAGTCACACAGGACTGTGTACAGGCACACACTGCTGCTCCGGGCTGAATGCAGAGGTACAGCCCCAGCCCCGAGACTCACGGCCCGGGTGAGGTGAAGGGGGGGTCCTATTGTGGGGCAGTGCCAGGCTTGGACCTGGCCCAACACGTGGGCAAGTAGAGGGAGGCAAGAGGGAAGTGGCAGCATCTCTCCACTCCCCAGAGGCACTGAAGCCCTGGAACATTCATGCATTAGCCAAAAGGCAACTACAATGGGATTTAAAACGCATATATAAGGCTGGTCCCTGCTCCCCTCTCAGGGCTGTGGGAAGGGCAGGGTGTCTTCCGTGAGGGGGAGGAAAGAAGCCATCTTCAGCGCCATGCGTGCCCAGCGCCCTTGGAGCTCCGTGTCCTCCTGTCGGGCCACGCCACGCTCCAGCTCTCCCCCCCACGGGCGGCAGGCTCAGAGAAAGTCAAACACCCCGTAATTCTTTGCTGCTTGATAGAAGAAACACAAAAGGGTGAAAAGAAAGAAGAGATGTTTAGGGTGGAAGGACCGAGGCAGCAGTGACACACGGGCAAGCAGCACAGGGCGCTGGGACGGATGCGGATTAATGGGGTTAGAGAGGAGGGCAGGAGGGAATTACCATCGGCAATACAC